TCAGTCAAGGATGGTTTTGTGTGCTACAAAACTAAGAATAGGAGTATAATCGAGAAGTAAATTTGAACATTCTCTTATTTCTGGTACCGAGACACATGTACATTTCTTTTTTCTTTCACAAAATAAACCTGCTCACAGGCTCCCTAACTTAAGTTTGACTAACATACAAGAAGAAAATACTGACAGCCAGATGTTTATTTGTTGACGTTCACAAAAGTTTTTTTAAAGTTGCACTATTGATCGAACGATTCAGGGAAAGTGATTACTCTGCTCTGGTCTTCTCTGTAACTCATAGAAATAGTTTTTTTGGAACTTTTACTGGTTTCACTTACAAAGAACATCCGCACACTCGTTCTTACCAATTACATGCCGAATAAAGTGTTTTACTACACTTCAAGTAAAAGACCACAAGAGCCTCTTGAAAGGTACATCTAACACTTTCTCTCTGCAGGACATTGTCACCGAACCAACCGACTCGTTTTAGTTGTTTTCAAACTGTTCAAGCGAATGATTAGCCATAACCAGTTTATAATCTCTTGGCCATAACTACAAGGATGAGTTTTCGTATAACCTCACACAACCATCTTAGCGAATATTACAGTGTTTTTTGACTTCCCTTGAAATTGCTTGACTCCCAAAAATGCAACTTTTTAATTACGAACCTACAGAAGACTTTGTCAAAATTTCTTTCAAATAAAGTAAATATTTTATTCTCATTTTCATGTGTAATTTTTTGACTGTATAACTACTAGACTATAAACATACATAATCTGAAGTGACAGGAAGCTCAATTCTATGATGTCACGAGTATATGTAATTGAGATTATTTCAAATTCTGGATAACAGAAAGTTGTGATGGTGATAAACGTTTTTTCCATTGCAGGACCCGAAAAAATGCTCCTTTAGGAGCCTAAAAATATAAATCAAGGGCAAATCCAGGAATTGGTCGGTTGGTCCCAACCCTCCCTTCTCTCACCATCGGACCTGTGGCATGGTGGATTTTTTATTTTTTGTAACCTGTATTAACCCTAAATTCTGGCAACTACAAGATCGCATGTGACATGGTTATACAAATCAATATGAAATATCTAATGTTTACTTGTCTTGATATAATTGTCAGTTTATTTGGGCTACAGAGTAAAAGAGTTAGTTGCTTTCTGAATCAGTGTTCGGAATTCCGTGTCAAAATTTTTAGAATCCACACTTAAATATCGGAGTGTGATGACGACATTTGGTAACATTCAAGTATTCTTGCTCTTTTATAATTTGTTGAAAATAACACGTGACCACTGTCAATATCACGGATTTCTCTGAGTCGTAAAGTCGTAAAGAGCAAACGTTTGTGTACTTTAATTAATAACTTATGGTCCTTTCTGTGTCGGCGAGCAGGGGAAGCACGAAGTTTGTTATCAATTTGGAAATAAAAAGCCGTACACGTGTTGAGTTTCGACAATTTGAGGTTTCAAGCAGTAGCCTGAATCGTCTGCCGGTGCATATCACAGATTTCTCTGAGTCGTAAAGTTTTTTTAAAGCATCTGCACAGCTCCTACAATAAGGCAGCTATCTTATTGCTGCCGTTCTCTATTTATTTCGAGCAAGCGTTTGTGTATTTTAATTAATAACTTATGGTCCTTTCTGTGTCGGCGGGCAGGGGAAGCATTGTTTGATCTCCGTTGAAATACTCCACTCCTTTATTATTTATGAGGTTCTCAGTTGTTTTCGTACTTGAATTAGTTACTTTGGGATTTTGTTGGTTGATGAGACTCGATTATACATAATGCACGCAAAATCTTTTTTAATGCAAAACATTTATTAAGAAATTAGACCTATGCCAATCAACGAAGCGAATAATTAACGATATCTTTAAGGAAGAGTTTTTTTGTTTTGCATAATCACCCGCAACCATCATAGCCGATATTACAATGTGCTTCCGCTTATATCAAGTTCTGGAAAAGAGTCACTCCTGATGAATAATTGTCATTTTTTGAAAAATGTACGTCAATTATTTTAAGATCTTCTGACTGCTCCTTCCAAATAAAAATTGTGTTGGAAATCCTTGAACCATAAATTATAGGAGTGAAAGAAATCGGAGAGCTGAGTGTCTGAGAATCAATCGAGGGCTTTCAAACATTTGAACAATTGATCAATGACTCTAACCACACTAAACTGACTTCAAAGAGCGCTCGCTTAAAACTGGTGCTCGGGCTCTTTTTCCTTGTCATTATCCGTCATTTTTTTATGCAGATTAACGCTGTTCTTTCTGTCCCAAATGCCCGTGCAATGTGCAATCTGCTTCATGCGAAATAAAAAGTTAAGTGCGAAAATTCAGTCGGTCCAAAGAGCAAAATGAAGGGATACTGGGTCTAACTGATCATATGAAAATTCAAAATCTACACTTAGTTTTACTCTAATCAACGGAAACAAAAAAGTGATGACACGATAAACCCCCATAGTCAATTGAAAACCATTTTTTAACATGTAAGACTGGAGATACGCAAGTTCTATATAAAATATTTATCAACACTAATTCCTTTCATGTTAGTTAATGATTGATGATCAGTGGATGATTAGTCTAAAATACCTTGGCAGCTGTTTTTAACATTATGTCAACGTATAAGCGAAAGTAGTTTCCGTCTAAAATGCCCCTCACACTAGGAAAACTTTGCACTCACAAAAACGGGGTCTTTACCGCACAGCTTTCAAAGTTCCATTGCACCAACACAATAAGTCAACGCATTAAGAGAGACACCGAGGGAGGTGGGGTTCTGCTCACCAGGCTCCCCTAGGTTCCATTTTACGTTCCATTTTAGGATCCATTTCCATAAAAACCGTCTTTTCAAGTGCAGTTGTGAGGCTAAACCCAAAATTTTGACCAAGCGATGGAGGGATTCAGACCTAGTACGAGGAGGCTAGCGAATGGCTTCCAAGAAAACTTCAACTATTTGAAGTTGGGTCCCCATTACATGTTTTACTCCGCAAGGACCTTCAATCAAGGATGGTTTTGTGTGCTACAAAACTAAGAGAGGAGTTTAAACGAGGAGTAAATTTGATTTAAATCAAGAAATCTCCAAGAAATACAAGAACAGGCCGGTGAATATTATGGGTGAAAACAGGCTGTTTATTTCATGTTTACTGAGTTGTCGTCTCTGGTGTTTAAATTTAAGTTAAATTGAATACAACTACAGCAGTGTCAAAAAAACGCTCAAAATAATTTTGTCATTCATTTCGTTAAATTCGCGGTATTTACATATAACGTATCACAGAGAATGGATTTTTTAGTTCTACAATAGCTGGACAAATGCCCCGTGTATTAATTCTTGGACAAATAAAAAAAGAAGTATATTATGATGTAATGATTAGAGATTTATTGTTTAAGCGTCGAACTTGTGGCGGCGTTATCTAGAGCAAGTCGCATAGAACATGTGACATACATTGCAGGACGCTAGCTTTTGTGCCCACTTGAATATCACTAATTGTAAAGGAACTTCAGAGTTATGGCAGAGTTATAGGTCGCTCAGTCTCATACGTCCAGAGAATGGCGGCGAAGGAGACTGAAAGTAACTAATCTTCTCGCTAGTTGTTGTGACCTTTTAAAGACAGCCAGTTGCAAAGGAATTTCGCTGAGACACTACAGAAGTCTCAAAACTATAATCAGAGTTCTTACAAGACAACAACAAAACAAATATAAATAGCGACCAAAATCAGTTTATCGACTAAAATCAACTATGGTTATCAACATGTTACCAAAGTGACTTATATTAAGATTATGAGCAAGTATTATTCTGTCAACACTAGAAAATGAGAAATCCTTTCTGTAACTCTTACAAAGCAATTTTCTAAGTTTTTTTAAGATGAAAATTTTCAAAACATTTAATTCCCAGTCGTTATCAGGCACAAACGTCTTTTCTCAATGTGCCAATTATAGCATTCTCCTCCACTTTAGTGAAAGAGCACGAGAGCCTTCTGAAAAACTTTTCTAGATGTTGACATAAACATAACAATCAAACAAATAAATACAATTTTACGTAAAATTGAATGTGCCATCACCCTAGTATATATAACTGCTCTTCTACCCTGCATTATGGAAAAGGAAACAAATCTTGAATTATTCATTCTGAACACTGAAACGATGACTGAGTCTCGTTTTAGAACGCCGCAAACTCAAACTCGGTTACCTCGAACGTATTTCATGTATTTCAGTCATCTCTATCTGTAAAATATGTCCTTTGTTACCCTCTCCCCCCCCCCCCCCCCCCCCCCCCTTATACTTCAGGGAACACAACATTGATCATGGTCACATCTACAAGTTGGTATCAACCACGTGCCGGTTTTCCATTTGCAGTAAACCGTTAAAGGTGAAAGATTGACTGGGAATCGTAACACCAAATTTAACATTTCACAAATGGGGAATTATGGTGATAGTGACCAAGGACGCCATACGTAACACAAACCGAACCCATATTTTTGAGCTCAAGGATAATTTACAACCAGCGCCAATGGCAGAGCATGGCTAGAAATCGAGGTCAGTCAGCGGCTGATGTCGCGGACGCAACACGAGCTGCGTTTCACCTTACAGCATAGGCTAAAGAGGGACTTTCAATCCCCAACTTCCATTTTAAAAATGAATCAAATGGAGGTGTATCAGACATTTTGCAGCGCCGATAACTTCTTTATTATTTTCTTTCCGAGATATTGCTTGAGAAGCTGTTAAAATCTTGTCCAAGTAAGAAGCTTACTATTTTGTTTTTCAAGTCAAATTATTTTCGCGCCAATGCTGCAATCTATGTTAATCTTTGAGCCTTCAGTAGCTGCCCTGTTGCGGTATTGTCCATAACAGGCTAGGTTACTATGTTTTTACAAAATGGCGATCGAAGAGTTCTTTGATATGTTTTCAGATCTTATAATTTTAGTTTTTGAGTCAACGTCTCTACTGGGAACAAGACCTATAAGAAAAAAAAATTTTTTGGACTTTTGGAAGAATATTAGAAGAATAATATAAGAATATTAAGAACTGACCTACAACTTTTTTATTGTGCACGTTAACAAGAGTTGCTATGTACTCTTCATCGGAGAAATGTAATGTTTACCCAACCATGACCAGCGCTATTATTGCAATATTCGTTTTGTTGATTTGTTCCATTGTTGAAAGATCCTCCCCCTCCCCCACAGGATATATCATCATTAGCCCCGCCACTTCCCCCAGTGTAACCACCACCACCGCCTGGTCCCTTGTTGAGTTTATGTAAACCACCGCCACCTCCGAACCCACTAAGACACTTTCCACCCTCTCCCCCCTGAAGATATCCTGAACCTCCTTTTCCCCCTCCTCCACTAGAATTCGTTGCATTATGTCCATTATTATGGAAGCCGCCACCACCGCCACCTACAGTACAATCAAAAAGTGATCAGTGATTCTCTTACGAATAGCACCCATAAATTTAATTTCTTACGATCAAACAACGATCCGCAGTGAGATTCTTAGTAATAAAAAGCTTATGAGTACAAGTCAGCGTAAAAATGCTGCAACTAATTATTTATTTAGTGCCTCTGTTTAATCTAGATCTTACTCTATCATTAAGTTGGAGATGGTGAGGGATAGCAGTAGAATGCAACGAGTTTCTCAGTATTTATAAAAAGCAAATTCTCCATCAACCAGAATTTACACCATTAGTAAGTCCTCCTTGTCCTTCTCTTCCCCCTGATCCCAGTGGCGAGTTGTTCCCTGCATTCCCTGTGGTGTTTATGGACGCATCACGTCCCGGATGTTGTTCTGACATATTTTTGATTCCCCCTCCACCTCCAGCTACGATTAAAGGCGTGTTGTTTCGTCTCACAACAAATGTACCTCCACCACCTCCAGCAGTTTTTGAGTTGCGCCTGTTGAAGTCCTAAATGTAATAACTGTCCTAAATGTAATAAAGTCCTAAATGTAATAACATTTGGTCCTAAATGTAATAAAGCCCTAAATGTAATAACGTTCGGTCCTAAATGTAATAAGCCTCCTATGCAATCGTTTAACTGCGCTAACATTGAAATGTTAAATTGACAGCTGTTGCGCTAAAGAATCCTCCGACCAATATTTATGGAATACTGCGGGCTCACTGATATTAATCAGCGTCTTTTTATTTGTTAAAGAGGTAGGTTGAGAAGTATTGGCTACAAAACCTTATACTGATACTGATGTGCTTTTGGCATCAAATTGACGGACGCAAAAGCAACGAGAACGTTGACTAATAGCTCTCTCTATATCATTGCCTCAGACTCTTATGTGTAACAGATTTTGACGAAATACTTCTGTCATCAGTGCTGAAGTTAACACTTGATGAACCGAACTAGGAAAAAGAAGTCCACCGACTCATACGTTAGACAAACTCTGGGCTCAGAAGGGCATTCTTTGTACTGTCTTCCCTTGCCAGATTTGTACGGGTCTGCATAAAATATATTCATATGCGTTATTGACCAAGCTTGAGGTCAAAATGGCTATATATTGGCTGAGTTCTTTTTTTTTTTTTTTTGCGTTTTTATGGACGAGACGAGGTCACGGTCCATAAAAAAGTAGAAAAAGAACGAGGCTAATATCCAGTAATCTTGACCATACAAGCTTGGTCAAGAGAGTTTATATTCTCTTGGCTTAATCATTAAAGGATTCATTGTATAGCAAAAGATTTCGCTTTGATAAGAATCAAGAATGGCCTGTTTATTTCGAGAGCCAATAGTGAAAGCCAACTGTGTTTGCAGTACAATGAACCCAAGAGGGTCGTTTCTTTTTTTCTATGTATATGCAAACATTGTCCAAAAGTTACGAACTTTGCAAGTTTTCTTGCGTGGGATCAATACGAGGTATCCCGAGTGGGCGAGGGTGGGCCCATCATGCCCGCTCAGGTAGCCAATCAGAACACAGGATTCACTTCATCTTGCCCACGTGCGCTGCTAACTATTTGATAAAGTGACTTGCAGAGCAGGATGTCGACTGACCAATCATATGCTATCCCATTTCACGATCACAGGTCTTGACATGTTACCTTTTTTCCCCGCAAGAGTCAAATTGAACCATTGAGCTACACCAATCAACACATGATGGTCAGTTGACGGTCTAATGAACCATTCTTTTTTTTCCTTTAGCCCCTTATGATGGGTTCATCAGTTCCGCGAACCGAAATATTAGGAAAACATATATTTTACAGTTG